GAAGACTTACCTGTGGGACGATGCCTGGCCTATTGCGGCGGAACAGAACGGCCGGGTGCGTTGGACGGGAGACAACTGTTAGAGGGGGAAAGGGGCGAATTGAAAGCCAGGCTGCTGGCCGCGAGCTGTGGGCAGTGGACTGTTGGCTTAGCCACTAAGCGAGGTCGCTGCCGATCCGTCTTATACTGAGTAGCAAAGCCTGAGGGCTTACCTACATGCCGGAGACCGTCTGCACCCATTGAATGAGAGAGACCGCTGACTGTATGGTGGGCGATGACCTGCGCCCTGGAGTCCTGGCCACGGTGCTGCGGATGGCGGGTTGCGCAAGTGGCTGAGTAACAGCCCTTAGGCATATGCTACCGAAGGACTGAGGCCACACGCCTACTAAGGGCATGACGGCGGCACATTGCGATTGCGGGGATTAGCCTGATGCGCTTCCAATAGCAGGCGGTCAGCAGCGGTGTGAAGGAGTGGTTACAACTGCAGGTGGAGGCTGCTGCAGTTGAGCCTGATCGTCGTTATTGTTGCTGGGGAATATCGCGAATACGGCGGCCCTTTAGAGTTGTGTGATGGTAGCTTTCCCACGGGGAGATGAAGGTGTGGTATAAGGAAGAGTAACGGGACGACAGGGGAGGCTGTTGCTATAACGTAGAGGAGTGGTCGCGAAGGGGGTTAATGCCGCGAATAGGAGGCCATCAGGGAGGTTGGGTTCGAGGATCGAGCCTGGCAGCCGAACTCTGGGTCGGCCAAGCTCTTATTTTCCGGCCGCCATTGCGGGGCCCTCAGGCGAATCAAGGTTTCAAGGCCCTCTCTTGCGGGACTGAGAGCACCATTCTTGGATCTGAGAGTCTTACACTTTTCTCTTTCTATCTTTCTAAGTCTAAGTCTAGTCTGCTGGTTACGAGGGGAAGGCGGCAGGCGGGATTGCAACCTGTAGGTCCGCATCAAGACTCTCTGGGGAGTCCACCCACCGATTGCGAGAGCTCTGCCGGAAGCTAGGCGAGGTTCTGGAGGCAGGGAACCTTCAGGTAAATCATTTCTATCTGTATAACCCACTACTACCCATGTTTGCCTATCCCCCTGCAGTATGATTGATGTATGCATGAGTTTGTCCCTATGACTATTGTTTTCTCTTTAGGACCTAATCAGATTGAATGGAAGGAACGTGTGAGAGTGAAGCCTAAGTTTTTTCTTTATTATGATTGAAAGGAGACAAGGGATGAACCGGGGGAAGGTGGGAGGAAGGCAGACTGCTTGTGATTGACAGGGTCAAGCAAAGCCTGAGCATTGTTTCTACCGTGAGAGACTCAGGGCTATGTTTAGTTGGCTGTTTTCTGAAGGACCAGACATTGTTTCTACTGTGAATGGTCTGGTCGCTGTGTTTATTTGATTGTTTTCTGGGGAACCAGGCATTGTTTCTACTGTGAATGGTCTGGCTACCCCAGTTAACTCTGAGAGTTTGCCTGATTGAAGGGGTCTAAATTCTTGTTTATTCTGAGGGAGGATTTTTTGTCTAAGGCTAAGCATTGTTTCTATAATGAATGATTTAACCTGAAAACCACGCACATAAATTAAACTGAGTATAAAGGAAAGTATTTTATTTATATTTGCATGTGAACTGGCAATTGGGCATTGTTTCTACTGTGAATGGTCCAGCATTTAGCCATACCATTAAGAAGAGAAAAGAAAAAATACAAAGTATAAATGAAAATAGTTTGGGCAAGTTGAGCATTGCTTCTACTGTGAATGGTTCAGTTCCTTGCCGATATTTGCCTTTTCTTTTGAAACAAAATCAGAGAAATACTAAACTTTGGATATTAAACAGTTCAGGGCGACTATGCATTGTTTCCATGGCGAATGACCTAGTCATATGCCCAAAAGAAGAGAGAAGTAGTTGTGCAACCTGTTCGTGTATATCTTAAAGGCAAGTTGGGCATTGTTTCCATGGCGAATGGTCCAGCTCTATGTCTTATGTAAGAGGGAAACAAGGGTTGAAGAACTTGAAAAGATTCACGAACTATCTATATGAAATAAACTTGGGCTGGTGAGAGTACTTACCTTTGTAGTTTGGTTTGCATGTGACTGAGTGAGGTTACTACTTGGTCTGAGTTTCAGTTTGATAGGTAGTTGCTTTAGTTGCTCGCCACGTGCTAGAGCCATAGGAGTAAGTGTCAATTCCCGCATTTTCTGTAATAACTTTTTTTACTTAGATAAATTCCTTCATTTTCTGAGATCTTTTCTTATACTTGGCTTTGTATAAATCTTGGCAAGCTACTTTTCATACGATAAGCGCTGCCGAAATTTCTACAAATCCCAGAAGTAAGTCAACTTTTGACTTGTCAGAGTTCGACTTGTCTTTTCCATATAACTGGCTTAGTTAAAATCTAAGAAGTCCCGCTTTTCTAAAGGGAGTGCTGCTCAAATTTTTGTTAATTCAGGAAGTTAGACAAAAATTGAACTGTGGGAAGTCAAAGTTACTTTCAAAATCTGAACTTAGCCTTGTATAAATTTTGGAATAACACTTTTCTAGAAGGAGTGCTGCCGAAATTTCCACAAAATTAAAGAGTTAGTTAAATTCAGTCCAAAGTTGAGCTCGAGCTGTTCTTTGAGTTCACATCTGACTTAGTATAGATCTGGGAAGTCTCCCTTTCTAAAGGGAGTGCTGCCCAAATTTCTACTAATTCAGAGAGATACACAGAATTTGACTTTCCAGAGTTGAAAATTATTTCTGCTTTTATATCTGACTTAGTATAAATCTGGGAAGTCTCCCTTTCTAAAGGGAGTGTTGCCAAAATTTCTACTAATTCAGGGAGTTAGACAAAGTTTGACTTTCCAGGAGTTAGAGATTATTTTTGCTTCCATATCCGACTTATATAAATTCTGAAAAGACACTTTTCCTACGGGAAGCGCTGCCAAAATTTTCTTAGTTTAGAGGATATAAACTATAATTTGACAGGTGGCGATTCAGGCGATCTGCCCAGAATAGGGGATATTTTTTAGTTGGTCTACCTTTGGCTTAAGCACTGATTTAAAAGTAGACTTAGGTTCAACTTATAAGGAGATTTTGAGGGAGGATATATTATGGAGTTGTATTCTCCAYACACTTATGATCTTAGCTTGGGGAATTGTCTGCCGTGTGCTACAGGTCCTTTTGATCATTTGATCAAAGTTCAGGGCTAGATCCAGCGTGATCCCTTAAGGATCACTTTCTGTTATCACTGATAACAGGTCGGTTGTCGATTCGTCGGTTTATGACTCAATTTCAACTCATCCTCCACACTCAACCTAAAAGGCTTTAGCCCTGGTGAATTTTATTGTTTTATTATGGTTTCACCCGGACTTTTATTGAATGGCCATTTAACAAAGGTACTCAGTATTTAATTAAGGTTCGTTGGACTTGCATGGCTAAAGCGAGGGGTATGAGTGTCGAAGGTGGTAGGGGTTGACTCTGTGTAGTGTGTGGGATGTTGATTTGGTTCGTTGATGTGATTGCAGGTATGTGCTGTGAATCAGATTCTGGATTTGGGTGCCTACGATCACATATATACGAGAGACCCCAGTTAGACCGTGAGAAGTGATCGTCACATACCTAACCCTTATATATGTATACATGGGTATACTTGGGATGAATGTTTGCATGGGTTGAAGACTCCCCATACTAAAATCCTACTCAGAAGCTGAGGCTAAGAGGCTTAGGGGAGTCCTCTCCTTCTATTTTTGTTCTTGCTTTTTGATGATTTTTTTTTAGTCGGACGTTTGGTCGTGGGTTGGGATTCGAGTTCCTTGTCCAGGACACCCCAAGCCCTAGGCTCTGCAGGGGAGGGGTTTTCCCTCGCGCAGAGCCTATTTGATTTGCCTACCGAGACACTCAGGCCGAGAGCCGGAGGTGCCGCGACGGCTGCACAGCTATTCCTTCAGCCGTGCAGTGTCGTGAAGGGTTAGACCCTCACGACACTTCGAGTCTGACACTTGAGTGTCATAAGCGGTACTCGGATCCACGAGGGACCGCTTGATTATGGACACTATATAGTACGCCACCATTGCGACTGCTTGCGTACGCTTGCATTGCAAGTCGATATGAGTAGGCCCTGCGTCTGCGCGGTTTTATCCTAAGTCTCGCGCACGACGCCTATTCGATTTCGCGTCGGAAAGTTATGGCACGGCTACCGAGGGGCTAGGAGCGTTATCGCGTTTTTTATTTTGTGTCGTTTCGTACGTATGCGTGTGTATGTTTTATTTTTGTGTTCGTAAAGTGGTGTGCGCGTGGTGTGTGGGATGCGTCCTAGTCGACCGACAACGGGCCGCGCTTAGGACTTCAGCCCCCCCAAGATGTCGGTTCGCGTGCGGGTCCAATAGAGGCGTATTACCGCGCGTACCCCCTATGCTACAGCGAACGAGAAACGCCCTCGG